AAGTGAAGTCCTCAAAAGGCATTCCGAGTTGGTACGAGAGGCGGCGCTCACCTGGTGGTTGGCATCGTGGTGAAGGCGTCGCCACGTGAATGGCTTGCGGTCGGTGTTAACGTCGGAGTTGGAGGCGCTGTAGGTGGGGTTGGTGTAGGTGAGGGCGCCGCCGTTGGGCCCCTCCACCATCTTGGTCTTCTCCTTGTACTTCCACCACACGACCACCGCCACCATGGACGCCACGGCAAGGATCACCACCACCACCAGCGCCACCACCAGCGGGATCAGGCCGGGAAGGTCGCCGCGGGGGCCCTTCTTGGCTGACGCCATCGTCGTGCTGAACATGGCGTGGCGCGGACTCCCCGTCGGCGTCACCTTGATCACGGGACCTGCCGAGGGAGCGGCCGTTAGGGCGAGGCGAAGCTGGCAGTAGAATGGGTCGACTGACAGAGATTTAGGGTAAACAAAGAGAGAGAGAGAGAGAGAGAGAGAGAGAGAGAGAGAGAGAGAGAGAGAGAGAAGAGAGAGAGAGAGAGAGAGAGAGAGAAGAGAGCGAGAAAGAGACAGAAGAGAAAATGAGAAAAAGATATATAGATGATAGAGAGAGATAGATAGAATAGATAGATAGATAGATAGATAGAGAGAGAGAATGAGAGAAAAATAGATAGATAGATAGACAGAGAGAAAAATAGATAGACAGATAGATAGAGAGAGAGGGGAGAGAGAGAGAGAGATGAGAGAGAAGAGAGAGAGAGAGAGAGAGAGAGAGAGAGAGAGAGAGAGAGAGAGAGAGAGAGAGAGAGAGAGAGAGAGAAGGAGAGGGGAGAGGGAGAGGGGAGGGAGAGGGAGAGAGAGAGAGAGAGAGAGAGAGAGAGAGAGAGAGAGAGGAGAGAGAGAGAGAGGAGAGAGAGAGAAGAGAGAGGGAGAGAGAGAGGAGGAATGAGAAACTCGGAGAGAAAGAAAGCATACCCCCCCATACAGAATAACCCCTCCGGCCCCGACCCCCAGGCCTCCAAGACCCAAACCCAAACCCCAAGCAAACCCGGAGCCCCTCTCGGTCTGAGCCCCTGGCATCCGGGCGGTCGGGGCAGGCGCAGCGGACCCCCTCGGGATGGTAGAGACAGAGGTGGGTGCATCCGCCGTTCCTATCCGCACAAACGTTCCAACCCGTCTGTCCTCCGGCGCTCACTGCCTTCACCTCCATCACGCCCTGAAGGAGGACAAGGGCACCCACGCGTCAAGGTGGGCGTGAGATAGTTGTAGTGGGAGAAGAATAATACACTAAATATATATAAAAAGGTTAAAGAGATTTCTTTTGTGCAATGTGGGTTTTCTACCATTGGCGTATCGTGTTTTTTTTTTAATGTTAGTTATTCATTGTTTGTCGCTTTGGTGTTGTTATGTGATGGGTCTTCATTTCATTTTTCTATCTAATGGTGCCCCCCTTAAATTTCATATTTCACGATTAGTCAACTTCCATTTGACAGATAACCCCCCCCCCACTATATTTCTCTTAACCCAACCTGTGATCCAATTAACCGAATCAGCCAAGATAAAGAAAAACATACTTTACTGTGCGGTAATTAGCATTCGAATCATTTCATTGGTCTACTTAACATTATAAGTTTTTCTACTTACAAAGCCCAACCAGTTATTAAATGTGTATTTCATCGTTACCTACAAAAACTTTGAAAGAACTCTGGCACCTTTAGAAAATTGATTAAACTTTTAAACATCAGTAGTGAATAATCTTACTAGAGCAAAAGTAATGACATATATCTTTGTAAAAACCGATTATACTAGTCATGGCGGTAAAACAACAGTACTAATAGCAATAAAGAACAGACAAAACAACAATAATTAATTGATAAATAATTAAACAATAATAATAACTAATATACACTAATACTAATAGCGATAAATGATAACAATCAACAATGATACACAATAACATTAAAAAACACCCATAATAATCATAATAATAACAATAAACATAGCGATAATGATAAAACAACAATAAACAAATAACGACAGAACGACAATAAAAAAAAAACAAACCAAAACACCCATAATAATTAATAATAACAATAACGAACAATAACAAAAAAATCAAAAACAACAAAAAACAACAAAAAACCAACATAATAATCATAATAATACATAACGACAATACAAAAATCAACAACAAAAAACACAACACCCTTCATATAATACATAACGAATAACAAAAAATCAACAACAAAAACAACAACACACCCATAAATAATCAATAATAATACAAAAACGACAAATAATCATTAAAAAAATAACGACAATAACAAAAAATCAAAACAACAACACACCCATAATAATCAATAATAATAACAATACCGACAATAAAAAAAATCACAACAAAAACAGCAACACACCCATAATTATCATAATAATAACAATAACGACAATAAGCAAAAAAATTCAACATAAACAACAACACACCCATAATAATCATAATAATAACACCAACAAAAAATAATAAACATCATAATAACAATAACGACAAAAAACAAAAATTAACAACAAAAACAACAACACACCCATAATAATCATAATATAACAATCGACAAACAAAAAATACAACACAACCACACCCAAATTATCATAATAATAACAATAACGACAATAACAAAAAATCAACAACAAAACAACCCATAATAATCATAATAATAACAATAACGACAATAACAAAAAATCAACAACAAAAAGAACAAACACACACATAATAAAATCATAATAATAACAAAAAATCAACAACAAAAACAACAAACACACCCATTAAATAACAAATAATCATAATAATAACAAAATATCAACAACAAAAAACAACAATAAATGCCAGGCTAACGACCTCACCTCGATGTCAGTTCGTATAACCTGCCGATTACTTCCGCTCGATTTGTTTGCTCGCTCGATCGTCATCTGATCCCAGTCTGTCCAGTAGATGTAGTCGCCGAGCTGAAACGTTCGAGGAAAACGTCGATTTAAAGAAAAATAGGTGAATAAATAGATAAAGACGTCGATTTAAAGAAAAAATTAATAATGAATGAGTGAATAAATACATGAGAGAATAAATAATTAGTTATAGGGTCAGGAAAACGTCGATTTAAAGAAAAATAAGTGAATAAATAGATAAAGACGTCGATTTAAAGAAAAAAAATGAATGAGTGAATAAATACATGAGAGAATAAATAATTAGTTATAGGGTCAGGAAAACGTCGATTTAAAGAAAAATAAGGAAGTGGATAAATAGATAGGAGGGTAAATAGCGTCGTTATCAGGTATAGGTCAGGAAAACGTTGATTTAAAGAAAAAAAAATAGGTGGATAAATAGATAGGAGGTAATAGAGAATTATCAGTATAGAAAGTCAGGAAAACGTCGATTTAAAGAAAAAAAATAATAAATTAGTGAATAAATACATAAGAGAATAAATAATCAGATATAGGAAGTCAGGAAAACGTCGATTTAAAGAAAAAATGATAAATCAGCGAATAAAGGATTACATGATGTCTGGAAAACGTTGATATAAAGAAAAAAGTAATAAATCAATGAATAAATAGATAAGACGATAAACAGCGTCACAATGTTATATGAAGTCAGGAAAACTTTAATTTAAAGAAAAAAATAACAAATTAATAAATAGATGAGAGAATAAATAGCATCGTAATCAGTTATAGGAAGTCAGTGAGATGAAGTAGATTGAATGCAAATGTAATGAAGCAACTTAAGTGGTACATGCACGAAGCTTCTTGCACATAAACATTTGTATTACGACATAAAGGATGTGTTCGAGTATTTGGTTTCTGCGCATCTGATGGAGTAGCTGAGTTGTCAGTCAGTGTATAATCACAATACTGGGAAACGCTACACTTGTGCTGTTTGTCTGAAAGCAAGTGTTAATCATATTCTGTACCTAATCTTTATTGTCATATGATTCCTAAAACACACACAACAAGCTTCATATATGTGTAGCCAAAATTGCCATTATATAGGGGCTAATATGAGGAAAAACGTGAACCCTTGAGAAGGACAAAGCTAGCGAAGCAGACCAGGCCCTTCGTACCAGCGTCAGGCCGAAAGGATGGACGACTTTCGGCACCAACAGGACTTCGTTTTGGCCGTCGAGGTCGGAGGACTTGATGGTGTCCTTGAGAGCGTCGTTCCAGTAGATGCGTTTCGTGTCGTAGTCGATCGTGAGCCCGTTTGGCCAGCCGATCTCCTGGTCGATGAGGATCTTGCGCCCCGTCCCGTCCAGGTACGAGCGCTCGATCTTCGACTTGTTGCCCCAGTCCGTCCAGAAGAGAAAGCTGGAACGAAGGCGCGGGGAGAGACTGATGAATCTTCCGTTGGAGAAAATGCGAATAATCATTCCTGTTTGTAAATCACAAAACACACTTATATACATACATACATACGCGTGCACACACCCTCACACACACACATATATATGTGTACGTGTGTGACCGCATGTGTGTGCAAGCGAAAGACTGACAAATAGACAATCAGACTAACAAAAACAAAGAAAGTCAATCCTAGACCAATAACCAACCCTTCCTCCGGGAAGACCGCGATGGCACGAGGCTCCACCAGGTCCGTGCTCACAATAATCTTCCGACAAGACCCGTCCACCTTGGCCACCTCGATCACCTTCCGCCCGGCGTCGTTCCAGTACAGATTCCCTGCGATCCAGTCCACCGAGAGGCCGTCGGGGGTGTTGAGGCCGTCCGACAGCACAGTCCACGGGTGGGTGAGGTTCTTCATCGACACAGCGCTGATCGGGAGGAACCAGTGCGTCGTCAAGAGGCATTAAGATACACCAAGATGTATGATACGTGTTATCGCACAGAGAGAAAGAGAGAGAGAGAGAGAGAGAGAGAGAGAGAGAGAGAGAGGAGAGAGAGAGAAGAAGAGAGAGAGAGAGAAGAGAGAGAGAGAGAGAGAGAGAGAGAGAGTAAGAAAGAAATAGAGAGAAGAGAGAAGTTAAGAGAACGAAAGTGAGAGATAAAAAAAAAAAAAAAAAAATACATCAAGAAGAAAGAAAGAAACCTAAAACTCGACAAGAACAAGAACCCCCCCAACCCCCCTCCCCCTCTCTCCCCCCACCCCCTCCTCCCCCTCGGCTCACCCAAGGGAAACACCCGAACTCACCGGATGGAATCGAACTTGAGATCCGTAAAGAAAAGGATGTCCTTCTTCTGGTAATAATCCACAATGGCGGGGTGGTGGATGTGGGGCACGTCGAGGGGGACGTCCCACAGGGGCTCAGTGTCGAGGGAGATCCTGCCGATGGTCCTCAGGCCGGCGAAGATAAGGTAGCT